AAAATTCAATTAACGTAACTTTTTACTTGCCTCTTGAAAATAAGAAGGAATTGGAGGGAAGAAGAACCCAAGCTTGAAAATTCCGGCATCCCATTCTTGTTCTTCCCTAGTCTTTTTATCTTTTTTTCCTTCTCTTCCTTCCTCTGTTTTCTCGATTTTTCTGTGCCTCGGTTTTCTCTTTCATTTTGTCCACCAAAATGAGAAAATGGATTGATATGTCTAAAGTTTGATGGATAACTATTGAATAATTGTAAGTCAAGTCCCCAAATCTTCATATAACATAACATCTAGTCATTAAACTTCCAATAATAGAAGCTAAATCCTTAAATTCCTTTATTATATCATTTTTGCCCTTAAGTCCTCATTTGATTTTGACTAGCTGAATTACTTGACTTTAATTATAAATGAGCGGTGTGTAACAATAACCATCTGAGAGTCGGTGGTTAATCTCTAACATTCGATAATGGAATTGGTCATTCAACTTGATGTCATTATAGTGCCTTATATGAATACGTCATATTTTGGTGGTGGTGGATGTTGCTTTACCAAGAGTCGCAGATCTGACATTGTTCTGGTATGTTAATAATTATATGAAGGTTGTGAATAATCAATAGAAACTTCCTTATTTGACTTCAAGTTCATGTATGCATTCTTCTAATTCATTCAGTTTGCAAGTAATTGGTGTTGTTAAAATATGGGTTTCGATTATTTTGTTGGTGATAATGTGTTCATTATTTAAGTTATAATTAGGATGCACACCTTAATTATTGCACATGTAAAATGTTCTATTAATTAATTAGTTGAGAATCATGAAAGTGTATGTACAGCCATTAGTATCTATTATTTGCTATTACCCTAACCATTATGTCCATTTATATATAATGGCAACTTTTTTTTAGCAATCTGCCTTTGTCGAAAAGTTAAATGCATCTAGCTAGTTTAATTGAGTACTTACTTGTGTATTATGTTCTAATCACTTAATATGATAAAAGTCTTCAATAATTGCTGCAATGTTTTTATTTATAAAAAAAAGCTAAATGTCTTCGGTTATTGCTGTAATTGAAAAGGATGGCTCACCTACCAACATGGAGAAAGCACGTACGAAATTTGACATTGGCAAATTGGTTTTAAAGAAAAAAAAAAGTAATTATGATTTTATATGATTTTGATGTGACCTATCTTGTTGTTCATTTTTATGATGCAATCTGAGAAGTGTACTTGAAGAATGCCATATTGCCACCCATACTACATCTTGAGAAATAGTGGATAGCTGAGGAACATTCCAAAGGCATTTGTTGTCTTCTCAATTAAGCCCTAAACATTGAGCAAGTATATATGATATCAAAAAAAAATGTTTTAGGCGTTGTATTCTCAATTATTGTTGTTTTATTTAACATTGAGATTGCATTTGGGACTTATCTAACAAGGAAAAAACTAGTGGATTAAATTTTTGATAATTCAATGTTTTTACCACTATGTTGAAACTGACGTTACTTGTGTCACAGTCTCCGTTGAATTAATGGCTTTAACATGTTAGTAATCCCAAGCCAAAGTCTCCTCATTTTAGTTTGCACCATCTTCCTCAGGTGGTCCCTTAGCTTGTGACATTACTGAAAGAATTGGGTATTGTGAAGATGTAATTCGATTTTCTTGGAAGAAAATGAAAATTGTCATTTACAAATCGGTTTTGAAGGAAAAAAAAAAAAGGTAATTATTAATTTGATAATCTTGCACCAAGAATAAATTAAAGTATCTCATTGGGTTTGAAAGATATAAATGAGAAAAAGTTGTCGATCTTGTATAAATAATTATTTTCTCCTAAGCTAAGAACTATAAATCCTAGTTTCTTGATTTTTGATTTGACTTTTCTCTTCCCCTAATTTTCTATGATGAAACCTCGTTTTATGACCTAAACATGGTCAATTTACAGGGTGGAAAAATTTTGGTTTTTATGTTTTGGAAATGAATCAAGAGCGATCAAGAAAAACTAAAAAATAAAAAAAATTCAGCAACCAGGCAAGATGGGCCCTACCTAGGCAAAAAAGTGGTATGGGCAGGACCACGGTCAACCCCATAATTTTCAATTAGGTCCCCAAATTATGTATTTTAATGATTTTTGTCCCTTTTCATTCTAATCTTCAATTATGATACTGAAATTTCCAAAATCTTCCATATTAGTTCCCAAAACTTCATAATAATTCGAAATTGGTCCATCTTATGTTCCAAAAATATGTAATTTAGATTTCAGACTACCTAATTGTTAAATTCAACTCCCAAGTTTTATGAATTTCATCTAAATTTCATGTGCACTCTGGTTAATTTTCAATTGCTCCGAATAAACTCTATTTAAGCTTCAAAAAATCATTTTTCATGCTAATTGTATTCAAGT